GGACACTTAACTCTACTGGCGCTTATCCCTTGTCTTTGCTTCCTTTTTGCTTCGCTAATTACCGGGCGCTTCTGAAAACTTGAACAACATTGTTTAGGCTTTTTAATCTCTTCTCTAACTTTACCTTTTTATGAGAACATTAGTGGTGGAGATTTGAAAATTGAGAGGATTTGGTTTCAATAAAAGATAAAACTGCCATTAAAATTACCACTCAGTTATTCCGCTGTTTATCTCCAAACATCGGTTTTTTTTAGCCCATATCTCTCACTTTTGTCATCCAGTAACGGTTCTTTTTCTTTCGATGCCAAATTGTTTGACAGTCCAAATTGTCTTGACTATAAAACGTCACGTGGGACCATCACTTTTGTAAACGGTACTCGGGTAAAGGTCTACTTTGTAGCTGGATGTGTTTCATCAGCTAGGAGCGTCTGATAGCGGACGGACGTATATGGTTAATAAAGTGGATCAATTTGGCTAGCAGTGTCCTTCGTCGAGAACTTTAATTTTTTTCTCATTCTGTTCCTTTCTGTCTGACCGGGAATGGGTCATAAACTTGTTTTTGTTGGTTTTTTACCATCGACGAGTTAGTAGGTTGCCCTCTCCCCCCCCCCTCCCCACCAATAGCGACTCTTCCGGAGGACACTATTTTGTGGTGATAGCATCGGTTACGCTGGTACTATGCTTTTCTAGTTGTCAGTTATATCTTTCAAACTGTTTTCCCGTTATTAAAAGTCGTGTATTTTCTGGACAGAATTTTATTTGCTGTATCTGCAAACTCAATGACGACCTTACTTCCTAGGTCCTATATTTTTGACCATTGTCGTTACAACCTATTGTACGAATAATTTATTTTGAAGCTTCACAAAGACTATTGCATAAACAAAAAAAACATTTTGAGAAAGTTTTGGAGAGCTTCTTGTTCTCCTTTTTTTGTGAGCAATAAATAGTATACATAAACTTTAGCGCCCTTCCTCACCGCTTTCTTTTTGTTGCCTTGAAGCTTCATCTGTTTTCCTTTACCTTCGTTTTGACCATTCGTATTGTGTGGAAGACCATTGGCTTCTCCCTGATGGACAATAACCAACAGAACAAAAATAAAGGATAACAGACAAAGCTGCAAGGCAACAGAAAAAAACTAGATGCAAAGGGAAGTGCACTAAAAGATTCTACAATTCATAAACCCGTATTATAAAATATGCTGAGGTAAAAGCAAAAAAAAACTAACGTTATACAACACAATAAAGATACGAAAAAAGACAAAAAAAAAGACAAGAACACCAAAAAATCAGAAGTGCTATGAACATGGTACAGATTCAATACTGCTCCGACTGGGACAACCGCTGCTTGTAACTTCGTCTGTATCTTCTGTAGCTCCATTCCACCAGCTGCAGTTACTCCACTGGCAAACGGTGCTATGCAGTTTCTTCGGAGTCATGCGTTTGCTGCTATCAATTTCCAGCAGCGATTCTATCAACAGTTGGATCTCAACCTCAACGCCATTTGGTAAAACCGGCTTATCATACGCGTCATAGTTTCCGCTGGCAGTAAACAAAAAGATGCGGCATAGCGAGCACTCATTGAATGGAATCTAAAAAAAAAGGTGAAAAAACCAGTTCAATGAATTAAATTTGATTAACAACACTTCCTAAACTAATTTCTTCTCCCTCCCCTCTTCCCAGTCTCCTTCCTCATCGCTTTTTTTTTAATCGGCATAGTCTTTAACTTGAAGCACAGGGAACGAAAAGCAAGAAAATATTACATAAACGCAAGCAGTAATATAATTTTCTTCCCATCTTTTACTTCTAATCAACACGAAATGACCGGGACTTCCTCCTTAAGAAAAAAACAAAAAAACAAAAAAAAAAAAAAAAAAA